TTTTTGATTGGAAATTTTTTTCTCAAAAAATGGCGGTGTAGCACAAAAAGTTCAGCGACTAAGTGACTTGCACTATACAAACGTCAAAATGATCACCTGACCTTAAAAGTTACAACACAAAATTTTTATTTTATATAAAAATATATATATTTAAAAAAATTTTGGAATAAGATCCTTTCCATAAAAAGTAAGTGATCGCTAATAATTGCACAATAAAAATAGTATTGGTGACTAGATCACATGTCCGACACACAATTGGACAGCACTTTGATAAAACCATTTTATTTAAAATTTTCTCATAGGTTTAACCACAGTTTAGGAGTTTTGCAATTTTTAGGTTTCATCACTAGTTTAGGAGCCTAAATTCTGTGGGTGAATCTATTTCGGATTCACTAATAATTTTTGCCATGACAACCATATATAGCTGCTGCCATCACAGTATCTAAAAATAGAGTTTCAAATTAATCAACAAGGCCGAAATATTAATTACGGGATTCTAAAAATAGAAAATTAGTCTGTCACGTAAATAGGATGTTAGGCAGTATATAAAGAGGAAGGTTTTCTAATATTTTCCTATATTATATTTAAAAATATTTATAACATTATTTCCTATACCATTATTTTTTCAAATTAATAATTTATCAATACTTAAAAATAGTTATCAAAAATGAATCCAACGAATAATTCCATTGAAGAAAGTAACTTTCCTATTGATCCAGTTATTAAATACACTAATAAAGGTTCAATCAGTAATAATTTTAATTATGAAGTAATAGAATTAGGATACTATCCTGAAACTTTTAAAATTACTTGTGGAAAAAATGGTTATGCTATTCTTGATGAATATAAGGTTAAAACAACATTTGGAAAAAATATAATAACTTGTTCAATTTATTATAATGAAAATGACTCTCCTGTTTTTCTGATTGATTGGATTAAAGATGATGAAAATTTTAATGTATATTCAGAAAATTCAACAACAGATGCTTCTGATTTATATTTCATGGTAAATTAAATTTATATTTTATTATTTTCTTTTCTTTTTGATTATTAGACTTTTATTGGTTTGAATAATTTTAAAGAAACTTGGATCAAATTTACAAAAGTCAGGAATATTAATGTTTGGATTGCAATTAGAATGCCTTAAAAATTATCGTGAACAAAATCCTCTTAAAGAAAAATGTATTTGAAAAAGATTTGATTCTTTTGATAATTTATCAACTTTAGGTCAGAGATTAAGGGTTATATCAGTAGGCCAAGATATTCGACAGACATTTGAAAGTAGTGAGTCATCTGCTTTAAATATTAACAAAGATTTAGAACAAGCATCATTAATCAAAACAATATTTGAAGCAAATGATATTTGCTATGAACTTTCTTATGATAAAAAAAATTCAAATGTTGAAGAAGCCATTGTCAAAGTAATGGATGAACATAATATTAGTAGAGATTCATATAGAGCATTAGCAGCAATAATTCATTCTTTACCACATGAATATGTTATAGTCAAATTTACAAAAGTCAGGAATATTAATGTTTGGATTGCAATTAGAATGCCTTAAAAATTATCGTGAACAAAATCCTCTTAAAGAAAAATGTATTTGAAAAAGATTTGATTCTTTTGATAATGTATCAACTTTAGGTCAGAGATTAAGGGTTATATCAGTAGGCCAAGATATTCGACAGACATTTGAAAGTAGTGAGTCATCTGCTTTAAATATTAACAAAGATTTAGAACAAGCATCATTAATCAAAACAATATTTGAAGCAAATGATATTTGCTATGAACTTTCTTATGATAAAAAAAATTCAAATGTTGAAGAAGCCATTGTCAAAGTAATGGATGAACATAATATTAGTAGAGATTCATATAGAGCATTAGCAGCAATAATTCATTCTTTACCACATGAATATGTTATAGAGAAAAGAAGAAATAAAATCAATCAAATAATTACTGAAAAAGTACCAATTTCCACTTTTAATACATCAAGAGAAAATCCTGTGGAAAATGACACAAGTGATGTGGATAATGATAGTGGCAATGATACAGAAGAAGAAATCAATGAAAATATAATTGTAGCAGAGGAGTCATGTAGAAATGGAGTCTGAATAAATATTAAAGATATCCTTTATTATTTAATTCCTTGTTAATTGAAAGCAAAGTATTAAAAGATAGTGATGAATCTCTTTATATACGAATTTCAGGAGATGGAAGAAATGTTGAGAGGAAAATAAAACATGTCATGATAACATTTGCATTGTTAAATGATCATGAAAATATTTTCAATCCCAACTATCATTATTCATTGGTAATTTATACAGGACAGGAGGATTATGAATGCCTCAAGTCATGAATTATGCCTTGCGTCACAAACTATACCTTGCATCACGAATTATGCTTCGCGTCATGAACTGTCTTATGCTTCGTGTTACAAACTATGCCTCGCATCACAATATTATTGCTTCAGAAGTCATATGATTATTACTTGGGGCATTGGTTAATAGTTAATAATTATAATTTGTTGTGCTAATTATTAAAAAAACATATATTAAATTAAATAGTAAACATACATTATATTTTACATTTAATATTTATTTTCTTTTATAGTTATCCTGGTGGGTTTAGCTATTGCAGAAGGAATATTATTTACTAGATAATAAATATGTCTATTCTCTGATTCCATTATTCCATAAATTGCTGATTTTCTATTTGAATTTCCACCATCTTTAAAAGTTTTATTGAAAAATTTATTAATATGCATGTGGTTTTTTTTCTCCACTGGTGAACAAGAAAAAGATTTAAGGCCAAATCTTGATGAAGACTCATAAATTCATGTACATGATATACAAGTACATGTATATATGGAGTCACGTCAGATGCATTATACAAGCCTTCAATAAAATTATTTTGTAAAGGATTACCTTGAGATTTTGTTAAAAATTTCTTAAACCATAATAAGGCATCATTTTGAAATTGCAAATTGGATCACACATGTTGCTATATATGTGGGGGGTTCAAAAAGTTTTGTCACAGGACCTGTAACTTTATAACCTTGAATTAAATTAATCTGAATTCTTTTTTAAATAAAAGGCTTATTTCTCCTTTTCAAATAAAAAATTGTTTGTTTTTAATAATTCATTGATTACTGAAATAATAATTTGCAAAGATCATCAATAAAATCAACTGAAAATTTTTGTTACAAAGTCATATAACTTTATGATTTTAAATGTAATAGGTTTAAAAATATTGTTATGAAGATTAGACATTCTTATATTTCAAACAAAAAAAAGTTAAATTTTTTGGCCTGTTAGTTACTAAGATATTAAATTTTAAAAATATCCAATAAAAAATATTTTATGTGCACTGTAAATGGATGGGATGTTAATACTATATGGGGCATGCTTGCAACAAAACCAGACAAAGTGGACATTGGTATTACCAAGGATTTCAGGGATCAAAATTTAAAAACATAATAATTATAATAATTGATAGAATACATAATTAATAATGTTTTTATTTGTTAAATGATTTTTTGTAATAATGTATAATAAGTAATAAGCAATAATAATAAATGATTCCGTGCAAGAAAAAGAGAGATAAGATAATTATTAATAAATGTAATAATTTTAACAACATAATAACTTTGGTTTATTTATTAAATCCATAGACAGTAATCCCCCGTTTTTTTAATGCATAAACTGCAAAAATTATGTTAATAATAATAGTAAATAATTAAATCACAATAATAATGATTAAAGATGATAACTAACCTACATCAAGTAACATTACAGTTTTACGCTTTGCATGTTCAGTATAAGTTATTGTATCCCTGATCATATTTTCAAGGAATACTTTCAATACGTCCCTTGTTTCTTCATACATAAGTCCAGATATACGCTTTACACCACCACGTCGTGCAAGTCGCCTAATTGAGGGCCTTGTTATTCCCTGGATGCTGTCCTTGAGTATTTTGTTATTACGCTTCATTCCTCTTCTTCCAGCTCCTATTTGAGATTTAAAGATATATTAGCAGTTTCTAGTGTACCTTCAACAGATCTAGCTTCAGTGTTTGCTCCAACAGCCATTCTTTCTATGCAATCGATTTCAAAGTCTTGAGTGTCAAAGGTATCCTCAGGAACACCAGAAATATCTTCTGAAATATTGGTTTCATTGTTATTGTTATTAGTAGGAGCAATAATTTGGTGAGCAGCTTCTTGTTGTATCTGCTGTTGTTGCTCATGTTGTCCTTTCAAAACATCTGCAAAGTTTTTTATTGATAAATCTATTGAATTTATGAGGTCCACTGCTTCATTAACTATTTGATCGGTTTTTTCTGAACTAATATTATAAGATCTACTTAAAACTTTATAGGAAAACAAGAGTAGATTGTCTGGGTCATGTGGTTAATGTAGTAAAAAGATCCAATCCAGCAGGAT